AGAAGATTTTTATAACAGAAAAAATCCGGGAGAAAACGAGATTGAGCGTACGAAGTCACGGGCAGAAGCTAGTTAAAGAAAATATATGTCAGTATGTCGATCAGTCCTCTAGTGACAGTTAGATAGTGGTTAGATCTAAACAAATGAATACTACCTATAAACAAATAAATAGGTACTATAAATAAAATGATACCTAATAAAACAAAAGAAAGCAGCATTACAAAAATATACATCGGCTTAAGTAGCTCCATTCTTCCATTCATGCGCCACTTCGAGCTGATTTCATACTTCCATCTACAATTTCGGTAAGATAGCGTCTAAAATAAACTGAAATACAACTGTGACTTATGACATGTCCCGCCAAACAAATATAGGACATAAATACAAGCTCACATGATCTAGATTTATCATTCGCCGAGAAGCGAATTATTCAACTCGTTGCCAATTTTTCAAATGTTTTGTCGTGTTTATTTTGTAGTTGCTTTTAACCACGACTCCATTGTCGACGTGTATAACTTCGCATAAATTCTGAAGTATTTTTGATTTATTACCTGTATTTTAAGGATTAATGTCATGATTTCTTAGTAGATTCCATATACGTCTTTTAGTCCCGATAAACTATTCGGATAAAACCCGTTAGAAAAAATTTTGAAATAAACCTCTTTTATCCCAGCCTATATAAAATCGAAAAAATATGCGTTTAAAAACTATTACGTACTCGCCTTTATCTGATTTTTGATTCAACAAATTAAGCGTGAAAAACAAGCGAACAGTCAGAGTTTTTTACATTCACAATGAATAACATTTCTTGTTTTAAATTCGCCATCATAATGTCAAATTTTAATGTGTTTTCTTTCGTTTGATGAGATCAAGATTAAACGTTCTTCAATTATTGTTTGTTATTTAGTTTGTTCATTATTTTAAAAACAGCTCATACTTTGAAAATTGATTAAACGTTATTGTTTTTAATATAAGTAGGCCACAGCTGTACTTAATAGATATTAATGGTGTTAGTATACTTTATTGAGGGTTAATAAACAATGTGCCGATCATCAAAAAAATATTGATTAATCTTTGCTTTGCGATTTAGGTAAGTGATTGGCAGTATGATATTTTTATTACTTGTAACAAATTATTCTGCTAAAGAGTTATAAGTCTGAAAATCTTTCTTTACTTTCTCAATTCTGGATCTTTGGTTTATTTTATGATTCACAAAATGAAAATTTTTACTTCAAAACGTAATAATTTTTTTTACTTATTAGATCGTGACGATGTTTTTTAGTGTAGGTACCTCAAGAAAAACTACTAACTTTGTTTTCTATTGAATCCAATTTTATTATTGGAGTGTCAGACTTTAAATGACTAAAAATCATCCCGTTCCTACTCTTGCACTTCGAGCCAGAGCCTCGGTAACCTGTACCTAACGTTCTCCGTGGCTCCGTATCGGCATCAGTCCCTTCTGTGTCTTTAGGCGTGAGTTTTTCAATTAGAATAATATAATAAAACCAACATTATGGTAAAACAAGTACAGTAACATAACAGTAGGTTTACAATGTAGTACTAATGCTTCTAAGGTCATTAATGTACTATAAATTATATGTAATTATACTTTGGTTTATTTATTTTAATAATATCCTGACAAGAACACATTGACTTCCTCATTTCTGCGTATAAAATTGCGTATTTGCACTAAAATAATACGAATATTTTTTACGGGGTATTTTTCTTGGCTAACCGTTTTCTTTCTTTATCTTCAAAAAGAATTCGCTTTTCAACTTGCGAATGTTTTTTGGGGTAAAAATAACTTCTGCTATGTTATCAGTGACGCGTAGTTTTTCCTTACCTTTGGTTTTTCTTTTCTTAAAGCGAAGTTAAAGTGCTGTGAAAATATAATGACATTTTTATCTTCTGAGTTCAGAAGGTATTTTATCGTTTTGTGTTAGGATATTATTTTTGCACGTGATAACTGCAATTGGATTTGAAATGTATTGTATTTTATTTCGTAGACATTGAGGTTTATATTCCTCAGTTGAGAAATATTGTTCATAAAAAAAACCTTTTATTTAATACACCTAATACTGGCATACAATATATTTTTGGGTTCCAAATTGAAAAAAATTCGAACACATTATTAAATTTGAAAACAATACGGTTATTTTTATTTTAATAGAAATGCTAATGGCTTATCATACATTCAGCTTTGTGCTGTCAAAAAGTTTAAACTATACGAAAATAAAGAATGATTGAATATTTTTTGTTTAACTAGAAAATTCTAATCTACCCTTCAATCAAATTGAATGTCTGTCCGCCCACGTTTTAAATGTACCAAAACCAATATACAAACACACAATAGAATTGTAATTATATGATACATATGATGGACTAAATCGATTTAAATTGCAAATCGAGATGACAAAAACAACATTTATAAATCCTCGAAGTGGTATATAATATAACATAACATCACGCCTTTTATCCCCGAAGGTGTGGTAGGCGAGGTGCACATTATGCCACTGTACCATGTAACACCCACTTTTCACTATTTATGAGTCCCATGTAATAGGGAGTAAGAAAGAGAAAGGGGGTGAGAATTGCTAAATAGAGATTTAAAATAAATTGATTTTAGTATTCTCTCAAACTTATAACTTTCTCCAGACACAAAAATAATACACAATAAAATCTATTTTGCGACGTGAAGTAATGAAAAAAAGACATTTAAACGATACATTTTTGCATTTCCTTTACAACTGTTTGAAAAATTAATCTCATATTTTTAAAAGGCGAAACTATTTGACATAGAATTTACTCACGGTTGGTGCTGTGGTTGGGCAACTGGATTCCGCGCAACGTGACACGTGTTCGATTCCCGCACGGAACTACTCTTTGTGTAATCCACAGATTATTGTTTCGGATCTGGGTGTCAATTGTATGTGAACTTGTATGTTAGTAAATGCACCCACGACACAGGAGATAATCACAGTGTGGGGCAACATTTAAAAAAAGAAAAAAAATAATAAAGCGGAATTAAACCGTTTGTTTTTGAATTGGTAGTTACTTTAGAAGTATTAGCGTTACTAATACTTCTACTACTAAGTCTACAATATAAAGAAGTATACACACCTACTGTATTACGAAAATATTCTTGATTCTTGAGCTATTTATTGCGAAGCGGAAATCTGAGTTTCCCCTTCTAAGTGAAATGTTCAACAATGAATTATGTTGTATGTTTGCACAATGAAAGCGTTAACAAGGAACCATGTGTTACCAATCTACTTATGTATTATGCGATTAGGGTTGCCATACTTCCGGAATTTTCCTGACATATCTGGAAATATTGGTTAGATTGGCTGTTCGAAATTTTTACAAATAAGAAAAGAATATAATAAAATACGTGGGTGCCAGTTAGGCTACTCCTCAACCCTTCCTCGTATGTGCGTCAAAATTTGGAACGATATGAATCGCTAATTCAGTTTCACGAAGTACAATGACAAAAAATATCGAATAATTTAATCTGGAATTTTCATCTCACGCCAAGAATTTTCTGTAGAATTTTAATTTAAACCTTATATATAATGTTTTTACATTATTATATGTATATGTACCTATATGAATAATACGCATAGTTATGTAAGCTGATCAGTGTTTCATCAGGTTGCAATACAATTGTTTTGAAAACCCGTATCGTGTAAACTTTCACCTAAATTTGGTAGTTCGTGTCCGGTTTATTGCAGTTTAGTTAAGGAATTTAAGTTTTAGTTTTGTCTAAGTATTTTTAAATGATTTGGTAGTGATATTTCCGCCTTATTATGAAACGTATTCAATTGCGACATGTTTGTGTAGGGACAAGTCCCTTAACGCCGGACGGCACCTAACGCCGGACACTTGTATTATCTCGATGATTAATAACGCGAGCGATACAATTTTTAGGGTGAAGTCTACTAGTGGTAGACACCTAAGATTTTACCTATACAACCTTCAGACTTTTTGTAGGTTTTGTTGAGCCACTCAACACCACCGTGAAAAGAAGGCTAGGTCACTTTAGTTTCTTCTCCATGAACTATTGTGTCGCCAAGAGATTTTTCATTTCAACATATTTTTACTCTTTTAAACTAAAATTATCCATTTATAAGTGTTAGGTACACAGACATACTACTAACACACAAAGCTAAGAAGAAAGGACAGAGACAGACAGACAGATTGCATTTAGAGAACAAGTAACTAGAGGAGTTTTGCAGACACTGGATTTTGATTCACTATGTGAACAACATAACTTTTAAATAAATAGTATTACTTAGTAAGAATACATTACACTATTTCACAAATAGATCAAATATCAAAATATGTGATATCAACTAAAAATCGCGGGTTCATCACGTGAATTACTGAGAAAAGCTCTACTAGTTTCGAACCACAGAGGGGTTCTTCATGAGCAGCGTGCACGGTCGCGGCGATGTCGCGCGGCCTACTCATCATACGACATCGCCCAAACTAGCAGAGCTTTTCTCAGGATATTCATGTGTATAACCCACGAATTTTAGTTAATTTAGTATAGTGTCTCACGATAGTTATTATAAAACACATGTGAAATCATGTTGAACAGCTATTAGAAAGCCGAATGGTGCGTCCATCTTTCTTTAATGTGGCTAGGTAATGGGTCTCTCGCGTCCCTGTCGTCGCGTCTTGAGAATCATTTGTGAGCATATCGCGAACTGCGCACAAGTAACTTTTGCATACTAAAAATATCATTCGTCAGATGTGCACTAACCATTAGACTTATGATCATCGAAAGTAAAAAAAAGTCAAAAGTCAAAATCATTTTAAGTAAAAACGCGGGTTACTCACGTGAATATACTCAAAATCATTTATTTCAATTATACCAGGAAGGCACTTTTGAACGTCAGAAATCGAAGTCGAAGTAACTAATACTCAACAAGTTAGTCTTATGATCAAAACTCCAGTCTGCAAACTCCTCAGTTACAAATTGCAAGCCCAGATCTTACCTCGCGTCGGAAGGCTTGTATGTGACGTCATATTTCTCCACGAGGTCTGCCGTGGTGGACCAGGAAACCCTCACCGTGGTGGGGTTCAGGAAAGTCACGGTAATGTTCTCAGGCACTCCGGGGCCCATTGATCCTAGAATATAAAATAGTTTTAGCTCATTGATTTCCTTGAGGAACTACTATTAATAATTATATTTATTTTTTATAAGATCGGAGGTCAAACAAGCGTCCTGAGATAGCAAACCTTTTTTATCAGTTACGTTATTAATCCAATATGTGTAATAAATACTACTATAACACGTGGCAAGGCATTGAATCTAGTCTTTATTTAAAGTGCACATGGTAATTTCAAGCTCAAAAAGTACATCAACACTTTAACCGCCGTAGGTCACCGGTGACCTACGTTAGCGGAGGATTTGCCTTCAACAGTTTTGTGTCGGCAGTCAAAAGCACACTTGTCACTTAGTATCAAGTATGTCGGATTATCGGAAAGTTCAAAAAATTTGCGTTCTCATTTCGGGCAAGCTAGCGAATCGAAAGGCGTTCGATTTTAGAACATTTATTTATTTATATAACACTTGAGAAACCAACAGCTGTATTACTGGTTTCCACGACTAGCGACAAAGAATAGAAATATGCCAACACACCTATTCATTATTAAAATTACTATTCAACACAACATATTGATCATGCTCAATAGAACGCCTTATAGCGTGCTATTTTAGAGTATCTCTAAATGTATCTTAATAGATCTTTTATATCAAAGATAATAACATAACCAGCAAACATTAGTAACATGTCTCGTTAGCCAAGTGTTTACAAGTGCGACTACCGGGCAAGGGGTCCTGGGTTCGATTCCCGGATAAGACAAAGAAGTACTGAGTTTTTAAAAAAAAAATTAGTTGAAGCACGGAGTCTGGAATTGTGCTCGATATGTGATAACAAGCTGACCCCCTATTACATGGGATTAATAACATAAGTGAAAAGTGGGTGTTAAATTGTACAGTGTCATTAAGTGCAGTAATGTGCAATTCTTTTTTTAAGGTGGGAAAATCATTGAATAACTTCTCCCGCCCTGGTGAGGCTAGAGGGAGTGTCAGACTCTTACTGACTAAAAACCACCCCGTTTATACTCATGCCCTTCGAACCGGAGCCCCGACAACCCTTTAAGTCCTCCAATGTGCACCTTTCCCTACTATTTCAGGGGTAAAAGCTGTGATGTTATGTCATTAGTATAATTTATGCACTTTGCACACCTCTTTATTATTAATAGACCATACCAGGACAACACAAGTTCTCGGATCTCGTCAACTTTATTTCCTTCAACAGTTGATTGATCAGAATCACTTAAAAGTTTCCAACCGCACTGCCTTATCAGAGTAAGTCAGGTACAGATCGAGACTAGATTTCCTGAGGAAGAGGTTCTAAAGTGGTTTTAATTAAGCGATAGTTACGGAGTTGCCAGCTTCTTGGCTTGTTTACGAGAACTTTGTGCTTACAGCTCGCAGGTATTTTCTGTTGACTTTTTTTTAAGTTAGCTAATAAAAAAGTAGTTATTGATCTTATCCTGATGAATTAGGTGTGAGGCAGTGAATGTTATTCTCAAAAATGCTAATAATTGAAATTAAATGTGTGAAAGATGAATGTACTTATTTTCATGTATTTTTTCATGTGAATGTATCTTGCAATGGTATTATTAAGCTACACCTAAAGTAACTCTTAAAAAATATTGAAATTTACGGTGCTTTATGTAGATTTTAACTTAAATGTGTCACTATATTATTATTACTTTTCCTGCTCTAGGTCCACAGGAAGAAATTCCAATAGGAATAGGTGGTACCTTTGTACTTTAATTTTATGTATGTGTTGTCCTTTATGTTGTATGTGTGTACATAAATAAATAAATTACTTAGATAGGTCCAATCAAAGTAATGAAATGTATGTAAAAATTATAAAAAAAATAAAAGGCAGTACAGACCGGCGTTCACGAGACGCAACAGCAACGAGAGCGCGAGTGCGACGGCGGCGGGTTGCGCGGGCGGCGCGCGCCGCATGTCGCGCCCACCCCACCGCTCATGCCATGCCGCTTCTGTAAAAAATATTTATAAATTATACATTTGTACTTAGGAACACAAGAATGAGAAAGGGACAATGACTTCCAAGTTTATTAGTTGTTTCGATTGTATAACTTATTTACAAAAATAAATAAAGTTCTAGGTATTAATGTCAGAGTAATCATGTAGAAAATACCGAACTCTATTGGCCTATTTCAAATAAGTTCAACTTATCATTTAATTAATGTAGAATCACATAATTATTCCCAAATAAGTAATGAATAAATAATCCGTTCCAATAAAATATGTAAACCATACCACAATTTACTCGAAATAATCCACCGCATTCAATTAATTTCTCTAAACAAATAAGTTGGTACGGAAATCCATTGCTCGTACAATAACCACATACCAAATTACACGAAAATGGTATCGACTAATTAATTTTACTTACAAAACAGTGATTTAATTCTAATCAACAATTTAACTAGTTTGAACTGGTTTCAACTTGTTGCTGATTGGTTGAATGATAATTCTCAGCTTAAAGCGACTTTGCTCTGATTAATTCGGTCGCACTGTCTATTCGTGCGTGTGAACTTTACCTTACTTAGCTTTAGCTTATGTTGGTTGATTGTTACGGACCGTTTTTGTTCATAATGAATATTACTTATTTACATTAGTGATTTGCTATGAGACCTAACTTCTGTTAGCTTTACAATTTAAGATTTTAAAATAACATAGAATAAGGTTTAGATCAAAAATTGTACGTACATAAAAGAGGAGACGGATAACATAAGATCTTAGTTAAGTATCCAACAAATCTTTCATTAGATTTACAATGTCTTAAAGGTGCACATTACGGCACTTGATGCCACTGTACAATGTAACACCTACTTTTCACTATTTATGTTATGAGTCCCATGTAAAAGAGTGAGCCTATTGCCAAATACCGGGTACAATTCCAGACTCCGTACTACTACTGAGATTTTTTTAAAAATACCTTGTATTAATTTAACTGACCCGGTAATCGAACTCGAGAACCTTTGCCCGGCAGTCGTACTTGCGAACATTCGGCCAACGAGGCAGTCATATAGTACATATTATACAAAAAAACCTCTTATAACCTTCATTCAAATGGACTCAATATATGTATATTTACAATACAATATATTTATTATACCTTGTGGAATTAGGCGCTTTTGCCATACCTATTACTGGAAGCAAGTATAACAGCTCACTTATAGGACCCACTTAGATTTTAGTCAAATTTCCGTGGTACTTGGCGACTGGACTTCACCCAATTGTACAGTCTCTTTTTTTGTGCCTTTAGGCTTAACTTACTCTGTCTCCTGCAGTCATTCACCGAGGGAAGTGGAAACTATCGTTTTTTTTTTCTTCTCCTCTTATAATATATTCTTGTTCACTTCGTTGCGGGAATCAAGACAGTTATACATGTCCCTGGGACTCGCTAGACTTCAGTGTTCTAGTGTTTTCATGGTTGTATTTACTGTGAGAGGTTGTGGCGGGCTTATCCCAAAAAAAAATACAATATATTTATGAGTCGTCTAGAGTTTAAAGGAACATTATACTGAAAGAAACTGAATCGTAACATTACCTAAGTATTTACCCGTGCCAATTACTGCATATATAATAGTAAGTAATATTAGTTAGGTACCAGACGAAACTAGAGGTCAAATTTTACTACCTACTCCACTTTTACGCTTTGTTAAATATCCAAGTATTTTAGTCCAAGTAGTTTGAGCCTTTAATATTAATAAAATATTCACATTTAAAGAAAATTAACTTAATAATAATTATCTGTTTCTTTATGTTGAAAATTACTTTAGTAACATTCTCTATCTTATCCTACCTAGACAACCTATCGTAATTTTGTAATAATATTTTTAATAATTAAAAATTGATCATCATCATCAACAGCCTACAAGTGGCCACTGCTGATCACAGGTCTGTTCTCACACGGAGATGGTTTGATCATTAATCACCACGATTGCTCAATGTGGGTTGGCGATTTCAAACTTATAATTAAAATTATAAGTCCAGGATTCCCCGCGATGTTTTCCTTTATCGTTTATCAGTGGTGTCTTATAAATTGATAATTAGTAGCACTTTTGGGCTCAAAGTTTATCTTCAGGATTTTAATTTGACTAAAATGTGTAATATGATCTTTTCAGCGAGATTTCCTCACAGGTATTCACACCCACATATCCCCAAGCGGTCACCGGTGATCGCTCTCCACTAACTACATTATATAGACCTTATTTCCAATGTTTAGAGACTACTTTTGTATGAACAAATTTAGGGGATGATCTTCAACAATTTTCAAATGGTTAAAAGGAATTATTATAATGTCTACTTCACTGACCTAATCATCAAATTTAAATGTTATAAATTCACAATCTCAATTTATACTTGAAAAGGAACAACAGATATGATATTATTCACCTTCAACCTACCATCGAATGGAATTGAATATATTTCTAGTTCAAAGGGTTCTGAGGTTTGCGACAACCGGTTTTCCGCCCTAGTAAATAGCAGGGGACGCGTAAAGGTTGCGCTTGACTACTTTAGATAATTGTAGTCCTCGATAATGGCTTATCTTGTAGATATAAATATATATATACTAATAGAGAAATATAACTACGCATTTCTACAAGCGGTTAAAAGGTAAACAAATTTTCAAAACGAATAATCGCACTATTTTTAAAAGGAGTTTGAAACAAATTTTCGATTTTTTAAGTTTAATTTAATACTAGTAAAACTATTGGTAAACATATAATTGTATAGTACGTGTATAGTGTGTATAGTATTTTATGCCGTTATTATATTATTGTATACTAGCAGCCCTTCCCGGCTTCGCACAGGGTAGACATTTTTTTTGTTTCAAAATGAAATGTAGCCTATGTCAAATTGGAAGAATGTAGCATTCTATTAGTGAAAGAATTTTTTAAATCGGCCCAGTACTTTTTGAGTCTTTTCATTACAAACATACAAAAATAGGTACAAATCTTTCCTCTTTATAATATTAGTATAGATTTGAGAGAGCCATCCAAAGGCTGTCTATAAGAATCGCCCTGCACGATAAGACTACACATTCTACACTATTATTTTTAATACTGTCCAATAATGCGATTTTGTGGTGTACAATAAAGCATATATAAATAGACAAATAATTCACTCTATCAGTTGTAGTATAACGCATTTTAGATATGAAAAGGAAATTTGCAAAGCCAGAGCGCAGTTTAGTCCAATTACAAACCATATTAAAGATCATATCGAAATGCTTCTAATACATTCAATGGCATTATATTAGCAGACAAAAAAGTCATACAGTTACGAAGTTACATGATAACAGTAGATCAATAACAGAAATAATAACCTTCCATTGCCAGGAAAATATGGAGAAATAAACACTATCTATAAATAGCATCAACATTAACACTCGTACGTATACTGATCACGCCACAAACGTGAAATTAAAAATACATAACAATTTTCCTTAACCCAGTTTCCAGTACACCACTTACTAACAACAGGACAAAATAATCAATCGAACGGTACTTACCTACAAACGTACATTATGACGTCACCGAGGAAGTTTACATAATTTCCCAGCAACGTTGTACAAGTAGAATTAAATAGAGTGCGTGCGAATGACGTCAGCTTCCATTTATTGTGGGGACTTCTATAGAAGGCTGTTGTAATGGTCAGAAGGTTCAAATATGTATATATTATGTCAGATAATTTAAGCTGGTGTTACATTGATTCTTGGACGAAGTAGGTAAGAATGGGTAAATCGAATTAATGGGTGTAGAAATAAAAAAATGGGTCATAATTTTTAATATCAACATGGCGACAAGAGAATACGAGAAAAGCGTAGAACGCTAGCTGCTTTCGTTTTGTGTCAAAATATTAACGAAGTTATCCGATTATCCCGATCCCATCATATTGATCTCAGTCAATTCACATTGGCCCATGAAACATAAAATAAATCTATATTAGAATTACGATTCTAATATTTTCGCCAATCCAGGGATTGGCAACAAAAATGTATTCTAAACAAACTTGGAAACAAAATAATTACGTATTTTGTGGGTAATTCCAAAAAGTTTAGTAAAGAAGCTTCGAACGGTGCCATTTGACTAAATAGCTTAAGGCGTACCCCATTAAAATTCCATCACCGCAGACAGGTCATCGTGAAAATGGTTGTTGTGTCAGGATGGTCGTTAGACCAAGATACTGGACTCAATTAATACAAAATTAAATAGAGACAAAAGACATTGAAAACAACACTTTATTTGTATCGATATAAAAGAGAATTTGATAAAACGTGTATTTTTAAATTATCGAAAAAAAAATAATTTTAGGTTACACTATATTACTAGAAGAAGTAGCATAAATGACTACTATCTGTATAACAGCTAATTTCAAAAGATATGTTCAATGTTGTAAAATGTATATCTAATATGAGTCAGTCCATTGGCATAAACCAATAGCAACTTCATACTATTTCTGAGAATCTTGAATCAAACCGAAGATATATTCGGTAGTGGTGTTTGCCACAGGTAATGTTACTCCTCGCGCACGCCCCTAAGAGCCATCAGACCACCATAGATGGGGCAAAGTAGGGCTGAAGCTCGATACGGAGCCGCGGAAGGCCTAACGGGTTGCCGGGGCTTCGGCTCGAAGGGCAGGAGTAGGAACGGGATGGTTTTTAGTCAATAAGAGACTGACACTCCCACTGCCAACCCAAGGCGCGAAAAGTCCTTGGATGATTTTTCCAAAACAAAAGTAATGTTACTCCTGAAACATTATTTGACATTTAATATTCATTTGACAAACGCACTCGTTTGCAGGTTCGTTAAAAGACCGAACGACTCACTGAAACTAATAGAGATAACTAGCGAAGTAGTTACAGTACAAATTAAATGTAGGTCGTGTACTAATTCCCGCAGGATGGTGGAAGTTATAGATCGATGGGGACAGACAGACTTATGAACAGATATTATCTTCATAT